AACACCCCATAAACAAATAATCAGGTGAAGAAATGGGCAAAAGGCATGAATAGACACTTCTCCAAAGAAGACATCCAGATGGCCAACTGACACACAAAAAGATGCTCAACATCACTCATCATCAGGGAAATACAAATGAAAACCACAATAAGATACCACCTCACACCTGTCAGAATGGCTACAACTCCAGGCAACAACAGATGTTGGTGAGGATGCAGAGAGAGATGATCTCTTTTGCACTGCTGGTGGGAATGCAAACTGGTGCAACCACTCTGGAAAACAGTATGGAGGTTCTTCAAAAAATTAAAAATAGAACTACCCTACGACACAGCAATTGCACTACCAGGTATTTATCCATGGCATACAGGTGTGCTGTTTCGAAGGGACACATGCACCCAAATGTTTACAGCAGCACTATCAACAATAGCCAAAGTATGGAAAGAGCCCAAATGTCCATCAATGAATGAGTGGATAAAGAAGATGTGGTATATATATACAATGGAGTATTACTCGGCAACCAAAAAGAATTAAATCTTGCCATTTGCAGCAATGTGTATGGAACTAAAGGGTATTATACTAAGTGAAATTAGCTGGAGAAAGATAAATATCATAAGACTCAACTCATATGATGACTTTAAGATATAAAACAGATGCACATAAGGGAAGGGAAGCAAAAATAACATAAAAACAGAGAGGGGGACAAAACATAACAGACTCTTAAATACAGAGAACAAACAAAGGGTTGCTGGAAGGGTTGTGGGAGGGGGGATGGGTTCAGTGGGTAAGGGGCTTAAGGAATCTACTTCTGAAATCATTGTAGCACCACGTGCTAACTAACTTGAATGTAAATTATAAAAAATAAATAAATTATAGAAAAAATGAAATATTCCTATTAAGAAAAAAAAGAAGAAACAGTCCAAGGGCACCTGGCTGGCTCAGTCAGTGGAGCATGGGACTTTGATCTCAGGGTCAGTGGTTCAAGCCCCAAGTTGGGCATGAAACTTATTTAAAATAAAGATTTGGGGAGGGTGGGTGATGGGTATTGAGAAGGGCACCTGTTGGGATGAGCACTGGGTGTTGTATGGAAACCAATTTGACAATAAATTTCATATATTGAAAATAAATAAATAAAATAAAATAAAGATTTAAAAAAAAGAAGAAGAAACAGGCCAAACATCCAGAATGTGAGATGTTCTACAGAACACTGACCTAGACTTGTTAAAGGATTCAATATTGGGAAGAATAGAGAGAAAAGATCAGGGAACAGTTATAGGTTGAGAGAGTATAAAAAACCTATAATAATGCATGACCATTAGTTGGATCCTATTTAAAAAAAAAAAAAAACAATAGCTATAAAGTACAGTTTTGGAACAAATGAATATTCTTCAGTTTAGACTGTATATTGCATGATATTCTGCATTAGTATTATATTTTTACCTATGATAACAGTGATGCAGTTGTATAAAAGAATGTTTTTATTTTGAGAAGATGCATACTACACACTGAAATACTTGGGATAAAAGTGTCATGATATCTGCAACCTACTTTTCAGTAGTTTGGCAAAAGAGAGCTGTATGTGTATAGAGATTTGAGGAGTGTGAACAAGGCTAATGGTTAGTTACAGGGTATACAGGTGTTCATTGTATCGCTTTTTCAACTTTTCTATGGATTTGAAATTTTTCAAAATAAAAAAATTTACTTTTTCCTTCTTTTTAATTCAAAAAGTATAATTTTAGTGAAGAAGTATATCTTTCTACTTTGTTAGAGAGAGTAGGAACATTGGAGAGTATAGCTGTTCTTCAATGAAGTTTCAATTTTTACTGTATTTTGTTAATTTTGATGATTCAACCAACCATGTCACATGGCTAAGACTGAGTTTCTAAGGTTTCTGTCTTGTATTTCAAAGGCACAAGAATGAATGCTGCACTTCCAAGGCAATCTTTAACTTTTTGATTCCTTTCGACTATTACTGCTGTCATCTGATATTAGTTCTCCATTTGAGATTCTCCTTTAAGTGAAATTATAATGTTAGAGTTTTGTCCCGCTCAACATTTTCATTTCAAACTATAATACATCAAATGATAATATGTTTATCAAGCCTGTAACTTAAAAACTAGAAAGAATTCATGATATGCTGGAGTGAATTGGTCACCAAAATAAGTTAGATAAAAGTTAACAGAAATAAAGTGCCAAATTTAGGTTCAATAGATCATTATTTAATACAAGGAGCCTTGGATAAATAGCAGTACTTTATTTTCAAAAATGATTCTAGATTTACTGGGGGGAAAATAAAATTATACATTTATTAGAGAGAGCATCTGTGAACTACTGAAGAGCAAAAAAGAACCTATATTCAAAGAAGATAAGAGAAAGAAGTGTGTGCTCACTGACAGAATAGTGTAATGGTGTTACCGTACAGAATTTAGAAGACAGAAATAAATTCAGAATGTTCTATAAGGATATGCTCTACAAGACCAGAAGTCATAGCAATATTTGTATTACAGAAATTAGGCTGGAGTTGCAAAGAAAAATTTTAAGCACCTGTAACATTTTAGGATATTCTCAGAAAGGGATCAGCAAACTATAGTCCTCAATCCAAACCCAGCCTATCACCTGTTTCTAGATCACCAGTGAACTAAGAATAGTTGTTACTATTTGAACATATTTGTGAGTACTTGTGATCAACTTAATAGAAAACATTAACTTTTGGGGCGCCTGGGTGGCTTAGTCGGTTAAGCGTGCAACTTCATTTCAGGTCATGATCTCACGGTTCATGAGTTCGAGCCCCGCATCAGGTTCTGTGCTGACAGCTCAGAGCCTGGAGTCTGCTTCGGATTCTGTTTCCCTCTCTCTCTGCCCTCCCCCACTCACACACTGTCTCTCTTTCTCTCAAAAATAAACATTAGAAAAAAAATTGTTTTAAAGAAAACATTAACTTTTAACTCTGTTAAGCAAAATGCCACCCCTGAAATCTATTCCTCATTGATTTGTATTACAAAAAGATTTTACTCATCTATTATAAATTTCATTACCAAATTTTTTTGTGAGAATTTGTTTTCTTTCTTGTTATCTAAGTACCTGTATCTTTGATTTTGCCTCTTGTTCTGCAAAGCCTAAAATATTTACCATCAGGACCTTTACAGAAAAAGTTTGCCAACCTCTGTTCTCTCAAACATTGTAGATAGAGTCAGTGGAGACCACCCAGGACTCATCAGACCAATAAACTAAAACTAACCTTCCTAGTGAGGAAAAGTTGGTGGTGAACTAGGCTGAAGTTCCTACAATTTACTCAAAGTGAATACCGCTTGTCCATTACATATTTGTTCACTTTACTAGGGAATCCAACTGTATTTTTAAAGATGGTATACTTATTGAATTATTCTCAAAATATCTTATTTTTAAAATACTAAATCTAGAATCTCAGTCAAGTACTGTTTATGGACAGAACATCTGAATTTAGATGCACCTTAATGAGCCTCAATCACAAGGACATAATCAAAGCCAAAAGTAAGTCCTTTTTTAAAAGCAATTTGGACACAGTGACAGAATGTATAGCAAGACCACATCTAACCATTAACTCAAAGATCCTGAATCTATCTGGAAAATAGCCAAGAACCTGGAAGAAGCAGAAGTTTGAGAAATCCAAATGTGGCAATCTATGCACTGAAACACGTGCATTTGACTAATAAGACAGATCGTTAGCCCTAGTCATAGCTTCCATATTCTAACTACACATAGTTCTATTAAGCTTAGATATGGTTTTCAAAATAGCAGCAAACTAGAAGTCTGAAAATAAAGTTGGGAGAAGAGAGGTTGCTGACAGAAACAAAAACAAAAGTTGTCAAAAGATAATAAAAACATTATGGGGAATAGTCAGCCACCAACAGAATAGGCAGAAAAACTAAAAAGTAAACAGAAAACATTAAAAGTGTAGCAAGTGCAGAATAAATTGGTAAGAAAGTGTAAGAAAGTAGTGTAGAAGAAAAAAACTAATATGGAAGCAAATAGTCCAAAATGTCTCAATAGGCCCTGAGGACATCACTCTATTATGACACATTTCAACATTGATAATAATTGTATTGATCTCAATTTAAAATATAGGTAATCTGCAATGCCTATATTCCGTTTAGTAAACTGGGGACCAGAGAGATACACTGTCCAGAGTTTCAAACAAAGTGGTTAAAATAAAAGTTTGGTGCTTTAGAGACAAATGAGCAAAAATTAACATGGTGGTTGACAGCTTAACTGTGCATTAATTTACTTGATAAATTAGGTTTCAAACATAATGATACTTAATTCCATTTTCTTAAAAACAAAAATAGATTCTTTTTTTTTTTAATTTTTTTTTTCAACGTTTATTTATTTTTGGGACAGAGAGAGACAGAGCATGAACAGGGGAGGGGCAGAGAGAGGGAGACACAGAATCGGAAACAGGCTCCAGGCTCTGAGCCATCAGCCCAGAGCCCGACGCGGGGCTCGAACTCACGGACCGCGAGATCGTGACCTGGCTGAAGCCGGACGCTCAACCGACTGCGCCACCCAGGCGCCCCCAAAAATAGATTCTTAATTGCGTAGTAAGAGACAAACTGTAACAATTCTAAATTGCTGTCCATAAACTAGGATTAAAATAACTGGAAATAATAAAGGGCGACCTAAGAGAGGTATCTTCAAGCATCGATTAAAACCCTCATTTCGGAACTTCTGGGAGACGTGTAAAGTGATGAGTTCTGTAGAGGAATGCAGAATGTAGACACTTAAAGGCTGCAACACTGTTGGAATGAAGGCAGTTTGAGTTTCTCTGACAGCTTCACCAGAACCCGCTGGCTCACCGCGGACCTCTTTTCTCAGGCGCAGGAGCACATCGCCCTGTCTCACCCGACCGGCCGCAGCCTCCCGCCGCCCTGAGACTCATCTTTCGGTTCCGTAAGGCTGACGCCAGGAAAGGGGCCAGTCCCAATAGCGCAGGAAGATGAGGGGGCTTTCTCCCAACATCCGCTCACCTGCTTCCGGGTGTGCGGTCGCCGAGGAGCGGCTCCTGCTCGGTGTCGATCCCCGGACTCGCCATAGTTACATCGCCTACGAGGCTGAGGCCAACTCTCGCGACACCTCCTGCTCCCCTTCCTTCTCACTTGGCCAAAGCTGTCAAAAGAAGCCGGCAAGTGCGCGTGCGCGCCCACCAACTAGAAGTGGGTGGAGCGCCCCGAGGTCAGTGACGGGAGTCACGGCTTAGTCTGGACCCGGCAGGGCGAGAAGAGGTCAGGGGCGGGGCCCTGTGTCCTAGCTTTCTTACGTCCATCGGTACCTCGTTGCCTCCCAGGACTTCGCGGGGAACAGCGGGGGAGGGGTTAAGGGAGTGGCTAAACGGCTACCCCGCCCCGGGCTCGTCCCTCTCTGTAGGCTTCGCTTTCTGCGCCCCCTTGCTCCTACGTGCCTGCAGAGGTTGCAGTCGCTGCAGTTGGGGCTCCGACCGAAGGCAAGTCCTGGGAGCCCCGGAAGGACAGTGCCGGGAGGCTCGGCCAGCTGGACAGCAGGCGCCCTAAGAACGGCCATTGGGTAAGTAGCCGGTCCAGGCCGCACTCCCCCAGCCTTCAGCACTGCGTACGTGCCAGGAGGCAGGGACTGGGGGCGCAGGGCTTGGCCGGAGACGCGGGGGCGCTGGACGAGGCGGGGCTTTGGGGCGCGCTCTGGCCGACCCGGGTAAGGCTGGCAGGCGGTCCCTTTACCCCTATGGAGGGTGGAATTGTCTCGGTGCTGTTGTTTTCTCGCTCCGCTAACTACAAAGGCATTTACCGGTAGTGCCTTGTTTGGGCCTGGATGGTGGTTCTGAAGGTGGGGACCCTCAAATCGGCATCTTACTGCTGCCTGCGCTGACTGGGGGATTCAGTCAAACACGATGCCACTCAGCAGACCCTGCCGCTGTAACCTACGGGTTAGAAAAGGCACAGCACCAGTTTAGTGGTGACCAGCTCCTTTCATCATAAAGATGACATTTTTCGAAAATATGGGGGTTTTTCCCCAGTAGATTTTGATGCTCTTTCCTTGTACTTACATATTAGCATCTTACAAGTAGTCTTCTGAGCTAATTAGTACCAGTAGTCATTATATGTCATAATTATTGTTTTGTTAGTGCCAATACATTCTCATGTGATTTCATTTGATAACAACTGTCCTATGAGATAGATAAAACAGACACATTTATATTTCACAGAGAACTAAGGTTCAGACAAGTTGATAACTTACTCAGAGTCACTTGGTGGCAGAATTGGGATTCAATTCAATTTGAATTCAATTCTTTCAACCAATATTTATAAGCAGTTACCCTATGCCAGGCCCTATATTAGTTATATGTTGTGTGGTAAATGCCATCAGTTCTAACCTTTGTCTTTTTTGTGACCTCCTTGTGTTTATCCTGTCAGGCACATGAACAGCTAGACTCAAAATGTGTTTTCTGTTAGTTCAGAATTATTTTCTGAATCCAGACTTGACTTTTTGTGCTTGGATTCAGTCTTGCAAATTTGTCTGTAACAGCTCACAAAAACTTACCAGATTCCTATGACTGGTTCCAAAAAGGTACATAGGTGAAAAAAAAAATTAGGTTAGGTTTTTTTTTGTTTTGTTTTGTTTTGTTTTTGCCATAATGTTGCTTTAATGTATCATTCACTTTTTTTTGAAACCCTGAAGTCTAGTAGTCTAGCACAGTGTGTGTGTGTGTTTCACATGGGACTTTTAACTAGTATTGCACCAAGCAGAATGATTGCTAGATAAATACATGTTGAGTGAGTGATTATTGAATTACCTCATTTAATCCCTACAACAATCCTCTGAGTTGGGATTATGTCAAGCATACAAGGAAATTGAAAGCATGGAGAATAATTAATTTGCCTAGGATCATACGTTAATAAGTAACAGAGCTAGAATCCAAGAAACACAGGACTCCTGAGTGTAAAGCCTGTGCTTTTTTCATCAGCAGCCTTCCTATGAAAATATTTTTAAGAAGAGTCTTTTCCTATATCTCTTAAAATATATCAAAACAGTTGATCAATTTTTATATAAATTGAATAATTTGCTATGTGTGTATAGTAGGCCAGATACTAGTCCCCTTTTATAGGTTAAGGTGGCTTACTCAAGGTCACATAGCTAGTGAAGGAACCCAGGTCTTCTGACACTGCTATTTTCCATTGCTACCTCCAAGTGATGACTTTAGACCACAAAAGTACATGGAATGACTATGTGTAAAACAAGTGAAATCTAAATAAGCTCTGTGTATTATACCATAGGGGAAAAGAAAAAGAAAGAAAGAAAAGAAAAAATCATTTCTTAGGAACAGTGTACCCAAACAAAGTAAATATTTAAAAAACCTTTTAAAAATCTTAATTACTTTCTTTAATGCCCATGGAAAAGAAGAACTAAGTTTGAAAAGAGATTAGATTATTTGCTGAATGTTTCACATAAGGATATGAGACAATCCACCAGTTATATTTCCTTAGATGACTGCTTAGAATAGATAGCCACCCCTCAAAATGAACAGATAAACTTCCTATTTATGGATCAACTTTGTGAGGATAAAAATCCAGGAAAAATTAGGATTGCATTGTTTAAATGCTTAACTATTAGAATGATAGATAAAAGTACTATATGGTATATAGACTCTGAGTGCCACTTTAGCAATAGTGCTCATTTCTAGGAAAGACTTTTCATTCCTCTGTGCTGTAGTAGAACTATTTTTGTTGAAGTGTGTTTTGTAGAAGTACTTTGATGTTTCCTTTTGTGTTGGCTTTATAAAACTATAGATAACATTTGTATCAGTTTGGCTTTATACAGACTTCAAAAAATGGGTCCTGTCTCTGCAGAAACTCGCTGGTGTCAATCCAGCCTGACATAAAGTCTCTAAGTATCAGATGTGCCTCTAGATGATGCCTCCTTTTGGTGAATTGGACTTATTGCTACTCTGGACTTTATCTGTTCATGGCATTGGATACCAGTTAGCCCTGTTTAGAAGACTTATGTTTTATAATGTCCCAGAAATCAATATTAATATTGTTCTTGGAACTGAAACTGGACTTAAGAGGTTCTGTGTAGCCCTCATCTCCATAACCAAATTTATAGCAGGCTTTGTGTGTTCTTGATTTGCTTTCTGTAGCTTACTGGCAGGTTAATATAGCAAGGAGTATTCTGGTTCCAGATTTGGAGCACTGACTGTTAAGGCCTATATTATATGGAATGAAAGTGATTTGGAAAGCTTTTCTGCTATAGGGTTGAAAATTAGAAATGACTAAACGACTTAGACATCTAATAAACATTGTACTTTAGAAAATATTTGAAGAGTTCATTGTTCTCAGGTCTTTTCCTGCTTCCCTTGAACTTTACTTTTGTATATTTGCCTTTGTTTACCAACTAAGAAAGAATATTGTATAGAAAAATGGGATGTCTAATGAGCAGTTTAGTACTTTTCTCCTTACTGTAAAATTTGAGTATTGGAATTTTGCTTTTTTAAAAAAATGCCTATTTATTTTTGAGAGAGATAGCACGTGTGAGCAGGTGAGGGGCAGAGAGAGGGCGACAGAGGATCTGAAGCAGTCAGCCCAACGTGAGGCTCGAGCTCATGAACCACCAGCTCATGACCTGAGCTGAAGTTGGATGCTCAACCAACTGAGCCACCCAGGCCCCTGCTTTTTTTTTTTTTTTTTTTTTTTTAATACTAACGGGGAATCTGCTAATTGCTGTTGATGCCATGGATGCTAGAAAGGAAGACCTCAACCCCATCCTTTTCCCCCACTATAGAGAAAATAAATGGTCTGTGATGATGTTATGTTACATGGCAAAGTTGATGGGATGACACTCCTATGGTTACATTAGGTTTTATTTTAGATTCCATCTTGCTAGCACATTCTTACTCTCCTGTTGGCCTTGAAGAAGTAAGCTGCCCTTTTGTGAACTCCTATGAAGACAGCCATATGGTAGGGAACCATAGATAGCCCTTCGGAACTGAGGTTGGCCTCTGGCTAACAAACAGCAAAATATCGAATCTCTTAGGCTGATAGCTGCAAACAAATGAATTCTGCCAACAACCTGAGTGAGCTTGGAAGCAGGTTCTTCTCCATTCAAGCTTCCAGAAGAGAACAGAGCCCAACTGACATTTTAATGGAAGCTAGATGAAACCTGAAAACAGAAAACCCAGATAGGCTGGGTTCTCTGAAACTAATCCTCAAGATGGGGGAAGTGAGAAGTTGGGGAAAACCAGTTAAAGTGATTTGTTATTCAAATTATGCTATTTAAAGTGGCACCTGGGTGGCTCAGGTTGAGGTCCTGATCTCACATTGCTGAGGTCCAGTCCCAGTCCCGCATCAGGCTCTGCGTTGACAGTACAGAACCTGCTTGGAATTCCCACTCCCTCTCTCTTCCCCTACCCTGCTTGTGCTCACTCACTCTCTCTCAAAATAAATAAATGAACATTAAAAAAAAATATTCTATTTAAAGGCCTTAGTGAGGTCTTCAAATATTTAAATTATGCAATGGCATATTGTTGAAGAGAATACATGCTTTAAGTTCTGTTCTTAGACAATAGGATAATGAATTACTTATCCTTACTGAGAAAGTTATCAAGAGGGAAAGAAAGTATCAATTTACTTCTGAAAAATTTTATAGAGAGTCTGTCAACTCCAATTTCTACATTTTTTCCCAGTTTTTTTATGGTGGTGAAATCATCATATAAAATGATTTATGTGTGATACACATCATATAAAATTTACCATCTTAACCGTTTTTAAGTGTACATTCAGTGGTATTAAGTTCAGTCATACTGTTGTGCAAACAGTACCACCATCCATATATAGAATTCTTCATCTTACAAAACTGAAACTCTCTATACATTATACAATATTCCTGGTCCCCTTCCCTGTCCCCCCCAGCCTCTGGTAACTACCATTCTCCTTTCTATTTATGAATCTGGCTGCTCTACGTACCTCACAAAAGTAGAATTATTCAGTATTTGTCTTTTTGTGACTGGCTTGTTTCACCTAGCCAAGGTGAATGTAATGTAATGTCCTCAAAGTCCTCCATGTTGTAGCATGTTAGAATTCCATTCCTTCCTAAGGCTGCATAATATTCCATTGTATGTATACACCACATTTTGTTTATCCATTCATCATTGGTGGTCACCAATGATGGTGGTGGGTTTTTTCCATCTGTTAGCTACTAAGCTATAAATTTTAAGAAAGCAGACACAACATGGCTAATTAAATAATTAGTGTTTGTTTTAGATGGAATACTGATTTTAGGAGTACCTTGTGACATATTTAATTATTTTAAAATCAATATTTATGTTGTGCCTGGGTGGCTCAGTCAGTTAAGTGTTTGACTTCAGATCAGGTCAAGACCTCACGGTTCATGAATTTGAGCCCCACGTCAGGCTCTGTGCTGACAGCTTGGAGTCTGGAGTCTGCTTCAGATTCTGTGTCTCCTTCTCTCTCTGCCTCTCTCCCACTCGTTCTCTCTCTCTCTCTGTCTCTCAAAAATAAATAAACATAAAAAAAAGATTCCTTCCAAAAAATAAA